TCTCTGCGGATGACAACCTTGAGGTGGACGAACTCAAGCAAAAAATTAAATTTCTAACGACACAATTAAATGCACTTAAAACAAAAAAAATAATAAATTAACTATTGAGAACAAGGAGTTTAGGGAAATCATAAATAAAATGTCAGAAAAGCTCGAACACCCTGAAACCAGCACCAAAATGCTTTGTACTTCCGAGACCTTAGACAATACTAAAAATATTGGGAATTATGACAAAAATATGAATGAAAATATGCAGAATTTGATTGGAAATACACGACAAATAACAACTAAAACCGATTGCAATGATAAATATACAACTAAAGAAGATATTAACAAACAAGTAAAGCGAAACAAATTATGTATTATAAGTGCAAACAAACCAAATAATATTATATCACTTGCAGAGAAGAGATTCGGGAAGAGTCAAATTTGTCATTACTCTTACCCCTACTGTGGAATTTGCCAGCTCATAAAAAATTTACACAAAAAATTACATGATTACACTTTGGATGACCCAGTGGTCATTATTTTAATAGGAGAAGATGATTTCAGGAAAATAAATAACTATTTTGAATTAGTAATTGATATAAGAAAAACTTTAGAATGCATAAAAAATACTAATATCATATTGTGTCTACCAACATACAAGTACAACTGCCGTAACCTGCTATTTAATTGGAGAGTAGAAACTTTTAATAATCTACTGTACTTGGATGTTACTACAGATAAGTATGCATATCTATTTGACTCTAATCTGAATTCATCCTGTGACTATACTATGTTTTCTAAATATACCGGCAGACTAAATAATGGTGGTATGAAAAATATTTTTGACAATATTTCAAAATTAATACCCAACATTATTAAAGTGGATTCAAAAAACTCTCAACAATAAATACACCCATGAACACAATCGCAAGCGATAAAAACACATATGCTTAATAGCTTAATAGCTTATAGCTAATTAACAATTATGGAGACTTGCAATGCTCTAAATGCCGCTTAACGTTTCTCTATTTGAACGTCCGAAGTATTTGCAAAAAAGGTAAGTTCGATGAACTGCAATGCTTGCTCAAATCTTTGCCTACACAAATTCATGTAATCCTACTTACTGAAACATGGATCGGTAGCGACGCACAAGCAGCTGAGTTCCAACTATCCAACTACACCCATTACTACAATTTTAGAACAGATATAAAAGGAGGAGGAGTCTCTGCGTACTCCATATCCGAATCAGAATACCTGGATGGAAATAATTACTTATGGATAAGACTCGAGAATTATTCAGTGGAAATAGGCATTATATGTATATAACCCAGGTCACACAAATTATCAAAATTTTCTGCAAACCTTAAACAATCAACTTCAAAATGAAACAGGGCTATAGTTTTTGGAGATTTTAATATAGATTTATTAACGAGCGACAAGAAGACCAAACAATATAAATCACTATTAAACGAAGCTGGCTATACAATTCTAAATAAAATTACTAAAAAATATTGTACAAGAGACTCTTCAACAAGAAAATCGATATTAGATCATATCAGCACTAATTTAAGGAATGACAATTTTCACATAGAAATTATGGAATCAGCAATGTCTGATCACAAGCAAATTTGTGTTGAATTAAAATAAGTCCGACGCCCAACATTACAAAAAAAAAAACGATATGAAGCTATAGACTATGACACACTGCACGCCATGAGTAGGGAAATTTCAAAAACGAACAATGATTATGACTACCTGCTACTTGAAAACACTATTAAACAGTACATCAGTAAAAGCAAAATTATGAAGACCAAAATATTAAATCCGCCACAAAAGGATTGGATCTGCAAAAATATAATTGATGGCATAAATCATAGAAATCTACTATGGAGTGAACTCAAGAATAACCCGCATGACTAAACTTTAGAAAAACTTTTTGTAAAAAAGCGAACCGAATTGACAAAGTTAATTAGAAACACTAAAGATGCATATTAGTATAAGAAATTTACACAATTAACCAAAAAACCCAAAAAGGTGTGGGAATTAGTTAATAATTTAGCTTGTAATAAAATCAAAGAAAACTGTGTGCCTTCAAAATTCATAATACAATCTAAACATATAACTGATACTAAAGAAATTTGTGAAGAATTTAACAAATATTTTGTAACGATAGGGCCCCTCTTAGCAAACGAAATATCAAAATGTTACCACGATAACAATGAACATTTGTTACCTCAGGTCATTACCGACTCAAAATTAATAACTTTACACCCATGTAGTGCCACTGAAATAATAAAAATTATTAATCATCTTGACTCAAATTCTAGTGCAGGCATAGACGGAATAACAACTAAAGCAATTAAATGCATAAAAGATATCATAGGCTTTAGACTTGCGTACTGTTTTAATAAATTGTTAAAACAAGGACAATTCCCAGACTCGCTAAAAATTGCTAGAATTACACCTATCTATAAGTCGGGGGCTAAGACAGAGCCTGGTAATTATAGACCAATATCCGTTTTACCTGTTATCTCCAAGATATTTGAAAAAATTCTGTTTAATCGCTTAGAACAATATTTAAAAGGTGTTGGTTTTATTTCTGAACGCCAGTATGGTTTCAGACCTAAAAGCAACACTTTGTCGGCAACAATTGACCTTGTAACTAAAATTAAAACCAATATTGATAAAAAAATATATAGCTCTGGGCATATTCGTATATTTAAAAAAAAGCTTTTGATACCGTTAGCCACAACCTGCTTATAAAAAAGTTAAATTGTATCGGCGTCGATGGCATTGCTCTCCAAATGTTCAAATCTTACCTCACAAATAGATTTCAAGTTGTTAATATTAACAGTTCTTATAGCTCGAAACGCCCAATCACATGTGGATATTGAAGATATAGGCCTACATGGCCATATATCTTTATACGCAGACGACACATGTCTGTTTTATTTTGGCTCATCTGTACAACAAATAATGTCAAATGCTCAAGACGACTGAAATAAATTATCTACCTGGTTCCAATATAATCTGCTAACGATAAATATACAAAAGACATGTTACGTAATCTTTAATCAAAAAACAAAATTATTCCTCCTCATGATCCATTAAACATTAATAACATTAATATCCAGGAAAAAACTTGCGAAACATACTTAGGTCTGAGAATGGATAATTGTTTGACTAAACTATCGTCCCTTACAGGCGCACTTAGACGAATTGTCCGTTATATGGTTTGCGATTTACAATTCCTTGGTGAAACCGCACTTACTTTATTTAATTGAAATATGGGACAGTGCCGCCAAAACAAAACTAGCCAATCTTCAAATACTACAAAACAAAATTATCAAAATATTATTCACACAAATATATAAAGAAACTAAATTAATGACCATAAAACAATTATATATACTTAATACATGCATTCTTGTCAGAAAAATTTTAAATAGCTCACTCCATACTAGCTTACATTTACGATGCTAAAGAACTCAACAAAACGTACGCTGCGCTCGCGCCGCGCTAGTTTCTTAGTTTTACCCAGGACTAGAACAAAACTGGGAAAAAAAATGTTTACGTATGAGGGCGCACAGTATTATAATAAATTGCCGTCTACTTTAAAATCTGTAAACTCATTTAATGTATTCAAAACTAAACTATCGGAATATATTATACAAAACTACCCACTTGTAAATTGAATGCATTGAATGAGTAAAACAACTCGTTATGTAATTGTCTTGAGAACGACATTTTGTGTTGCTTGATTTTTGTTTTTATTATTATTATTTTTTTGTTTCCATGTAAGTGACTTTGTGTCTTTTTGGAAATAAAGATCTCTAAACCTAAAAATGCCTAAGAACTAAAATTATGATATAAAAGGAATCTCAGAAGTGAGACGTCTGGGATGTGAAATTAAAGAATATGAGAACTTTATACTCTACTACATAGGACAGGCACCAGGACAATAGGGGGTAGGCTTCATTATAACCAAGGTATTAAAGAATAACATAGACAGTTTCAATGGTATATCAGAGCGCCTAGTTATAGCTAGGTATACTTCAGTATACTGAACAAGTGAGCGCGAGATAGAGATGCATGGGCATCTTTGGAAGAGGCCTTTACATTTTAATACTTATAATTTATTTTGTTAACTATGTGAAGCAAGACATAAAGTTTGTTTATGTTGTTGTCATAATAAAAATATGATAAAGACAAACTTGACTTTGTTGACGTTTCTTTCAGTGTTGCCAGAAATCGAAAATAGTTTTGCTTAAATCAATTTCTACTTTTGTGAAATTACCTGCTATTTTATTGCCGTAGGGGCGTAGGACTTATATGAAGATGATATTCAAGATATCAGTATATTTGGGAATAAAGATGAACCGGTGCAATCTTCAGCAACAGAAATTGAAACTGGGCCTTGAACTCCAAAGCGTGCCAGAACAAGTATTGGAGATTCTTTTGCGACAATTTTGGCATATGGCTTAGAGGGTAATAAAAATAAGGAAATAACTCAAAACATAGCAGAAATTATATGCCGGGATAGCCTACCCTTTAGTATAGTAGAATGATTCGGTTTCTAGAAATTAATGAACAGTGTAGCTCCTTTGTACAAAGTTCTGCACCGTAAAACTATCACAGACCTTAAAGACACTAAATATAAAGAAAAAATCCTTGTCATACATAAATTAGTTATAAACGTTTCCCTTACAATCGATGAATGGAAAGATTTGCAGTTAACACATTCAATGCCAAAAACACGGAGCCGTGGAGATGTACCTGGCCGAGTACACAGCGCCGTGTGGGTGGCGGGGGGCTGCATACACAGCGCAGTGTCTCGCGACTCGTTTGTTTCAATGCAGTAGTACAGCTCCGGCCATTGTGATAGCAGTACGTATTTTACGTGGCCATACACTCGATATATTAAGCGTCGGAAACAACTATTGGATTTTGATTTTCAAACGTTTTATAAAATAAAATAGGGACGTTTGAAAATTATACTTATTTACTCTAAAATGACTGACAAACCAGGCCCTTCCAAGCGCTCTAGTAGCCGTTTAACTTCGTGTTCCCGTGCTAAAAAAAAAGCCCGTAAAATTAGTACAGATAGTAGTTTGGAAGATTTTGTATATTCGAGTGAAGAAGCTGCGTTTTCTCAATGTTGTGATGAAGACGATGTGAGCCGTGGAGAAGAAGGCAGCGATAATAGCGATGATAGTATTTTTGAAACTAGGCGCCGTAATCGAAGAGACAAACTTCAGCCGCCAGAATGTCAGAAGAGTTCAGAGCAGGTACACAATTTATTATTATGTGATAGAGAAGAACGCAATAAAGAGAAACTTACTCAAGAAGTATCTACAGATTATCAAATGGATACCTCCCCTTCTATCTAAGAAGTTTATGGAGAACTACCTCATATACCTCACAATTGACTGAATACTTCAGCAACTCCATCTGTATCCATGTTAATGTCCGATGTACCTTCATTTGATTTTCCTTGTGAAGATTTGCCACAAAGGTTACCGTTAAACGAAAATGCACATTCGTCATTATTCTCGCAATCTACAGTTGTAAGACCAGACGAAGTACCATCTGGAAATGGAGCTACATCTCTTTGGAGTACAGATGGGAGGATGAATATCATAGAGTTCACCAAAACCCAAGAATTGTTAGTGCCAGCTCCATCTGATCCATTTGTGGCATTCCGCTTACTATTAGATGATAATATTCTAGATTTGATAGTGCATGAAACTAATGTCAATGCCAATCGTGTACTACAGGCTCCAGGTTTCAAAAAATACTCTAGAATAACAGCCTGGAAAGAGTTAACAAGAGCTGAGCTATTAACATTTCCTGGATTAGTCTTGCACACAGGCACTATTCGACTGAATAGATTAAGTGATTATTGGAAAAAGCATCTCTTTTTAATATTCCTTGCTTTGCGCAATTTATGTCACGCAATCGCTTCATGTTGATATTACGTTGTCTTCATTTTTCCTCTGAAATATCTACTGAAGACCGACTGGCTAATATTCGTCCTATAGTAGACCAGTTTAATAAAAAAATGAATGATATCTATTATCCGGGCAAACAATTGTCGCCAGATGAATCGATGGTGCTATGGCGTGGACGCTTACAGTTTAGGCAATTTATTAAAAATAAGCGGTACAAATACGGAATCAAATTGTACGTACTTGCAGAACCAGAGGGTACCGTACTAAAATTTCAAATCTATGGTGGTGCAGGGGATGATACATCCGGCATAGGACATACCCAAAAAATTGTACTGAAGTTACCAGAAGACAAATTGGCCTCAGGGCACAGCGTCTATATGGACAATTACTACAATTCATATGATTTGGCTACAAAATTATTAGATCGTCAAAGTTACTGCACTGGTACCTTAAATAAAAATCGAAAAGGTAATCCGATAGATCTCGTTACGGTTACACTCCGTAAAGGAGAAAATAAATCATTATTTTTAAATGGCGTACATATCGGCAAATGGAGGGACAAGCGATACGTACTGTACATATCAACAAAGCATAACAACGAAATGATGGAAGTCACCGATAAAAGAGGAAATGTTATTGTGAAGTCAGCAACAATTATACACTATAATAAATTTATGTCTGGTGTTGATTTGCAGGATCAAATGGTTTCCTACTATCCATGCGAAAGGAAAACTATGAAGTGGTGCAAAAAAGATTTTTATCCATACACTACAGATGAGTCTTAGTAATGCTTTTTATTTGTATAATAAATTTAGTAATAATACCAAAGTTAATCTTTATGATTTTCGTATGCATATTTTAGAAAAATTATTACCAAAACCACCACAAACAGCTGAAAAACTGTCTCTTAGACATGCGACAAAAAGAAGAAGTTAATAAGATTAGAACTATCACAGAGTTAATAAGAAAAGAGTGTAAAAGTTGCAAAGAAAAGAAAAATAGAGTTGCCACTTTGTACGAATGCAAGCTTTATTTATTATTATTACATTTATGACAACTTTTTTTATTTATGTTTTAGTTTTTGAAACAATAAGATTATCATTTTGTTGGAATGCTAATACTAATAAAACGTTTAAATTTTTTTTATAAATAATGATAATATTTGGTTTCACTATTCTATAAGATAAGTCTTGAAAGCTTAAAAGAACATTTCCTTTGATTTTTAGTTTTGAATTGGTAATTTTATCATTTATTTTATTTTTAATCTGATAAATTGTTAATATTAATCTCTTAGGTTTATTATAAGAATAACAAAAGCATGTATATTTTTAAAAAATAAAGAATTAATTAAAAAATAAAGTACATATTGACAAACTGATTAATATTGAATAAAGAAAAATCGATTCTTGTTTAAATCGATTCTTTTCCAGTGATGTCACATCCGTAGCCGACATCGTAAAGATATCAAAAGAATGTGTTGGCTTTATATTGAACTAGCTTGGTCTAGCGAATGGTCGAGTTCCCGCAGAATTTTCAGGATAAAACCTATGTTTTTTTTTTCGAGTTCTGAACCATATCTGTACAATTTTTACACTAAATTTAATTATTTTAAAGAACTTCTGCATATACTAAAAAAAAGTGTTATAATTGTGAAACTAAATACTATCGTAAAACGGCTTACCCGCAAGCACAGCGCCAGCGCAGAGAGCGAGTTGGTTTTGTTTCGGAGTTATTTATCATTGTAATCTTTAAAGTTTTTTGTTGAAATTAAGTTATGTCAAAGACAATTTTATGCACAATAGACATTGCACGCACATACGCAGTATAACAAGGTGCACGCACATGTATAACAAGGTGCATTTTACGGACGACAGTTGCCATATTTACAATAGAAATGAACTGGTTGCTACTGCTTCGTTGACAAATGGTGTTTATAAACTGAATCTAAAAGAATGTTTGGTTGCTGCAGTGACTACTTCGGATCTTACTTGGCATCGCAGATTAGGCCAACTGAACAGTGATAGTTTAAGGAAAACCAAAAATGCAGTTGAGGGAATGAGTTATGATGAGAATTTCACCATAAGTTAATCAACCTGTAAGATATGCTGTGAAGGTAAGCAGTGCAGATTACCTTTTACAAGTAGTGACACAAGGAGTACAGAATTGCTAAATGTTGTACATAGTGACCTTTGTGGGCCAATGGAGGCAACTTTACTGGGAGACGCATCCTACTTTCTATTGTTTGTCGATGACTTCAGCCGGATGACCTCCATTTACTTTCTAAACCATAAGAATGAAGCGTTGAAATACTTTAAGGAATTCAAGGCATTGGCAGAAAACCAAACTAATAGAAAAGTGAAAACCTTCAGAACTGACAACGGGAAGGAATTTTGTAATACAGACTTTGATGATTACTTGAAGAAATTCGGAATAGTGCACCAAAAATCCAACCCTTATACACCTCAACAAAACGGATTATGTGAAAGAATGAATAGAACGGTTATTGAAAAGGCTAAGTGCATGCTTTATGACGCTGATCTGGACAAGAAGTTCTGGGCAGAGGCTTGCAATACGGCTGTATACTTACATAACCGGATTGTTTCTTCAGTTTTAGATGGCAAAACACCATATGAATTATGGGCAGGTGTAAAGCCAGATCTGAGCAACGTAAAGATTTTTGGATCCCCTATCATGGTCCATATCAACAAAGAGAAAAGGTCCAAATGGGACAGAAAGTCCATTGAATGTATACTACTTGGATATCCTGACAATATTAAAGGAGACAGATTGTATGATCCAAAAGAGAAAAGAATTTTCACAAGTAGAGATGTAATTATCATGGAGAAACAGTTGGTTATGATGGATATTACGTCTGAAGAGAATAAAAATGAGTCTGAGATGGATAAAACATCAGGAGACACCCAGATTCGGCAGGATTCAGTGGGGGACTCAGATTGTACATTGACAGAAGAAGCAAAGGAGGATACATCTACAGAGTTCTCAGATTATGTACCAAGTGATTATGAAGATTGTGTAGACACACAGAGTAGTAATTATAAGGCTGATAGACCTGTCAGAGAACGTCGTGCACCAGACAGATTTGGTTTTAGTGGTCTCTGCTACACAGAAATGGATACTGGAACAGGTCTCACACTCAAGCAAGCACTGAAAGGGCCTGAGAGACCAGTGGCTGCAGGCAGTACAGGAGGAGCTGGAGTGCTTCTAGCAAAGTGGTGCCTGGGAGGTAGTCAATGTTCCTGATAACTCTACTATTGTGCAGTGTAAATGGGTACTTAAGAAAAAGTTTGAGTGTAGTGGTAAAGTCCGTTACCGTGCAAGGTTAGTGGCTTTAGGGTTTACCCAGCAACCTGGTGTTGACTATACTGACTTTCTCGCCTGTAGTAAGATACAGTTCTCTCAGATTATTGCTTGCTATTTCTGTAAAACTTGGACTGGACATAACACATTTAGATGTGTGTACTGCATTCTTGAATGGTGATTTAAATGAAAATATTTATATGCAAATGCCTGAAGGGTTTAACTGCCCAGATTCAGACAAAGTTTTGAAATCGAAAAAGGCTATTTATGGATTGAAGTAATCATCAAGAATGTGGTATAATAAAGTAGATATGTGCTTAACTGAAAATAGTTATTAAAAGTCGAAATATGAATCTTGTTTGTATACTAAAAAGGATGGTAGAAGTATGACTATAATTGCATTATATGTACATGATTTTTTTGTGTTTTCAAATAGTAGTGATGAAACGAATAATTTAAAGTATATTTTGGAATCTCAGTTTAAAATTAAAGACCTGGGTCAAATTAGACAGTGTCTTGGTATGTCAGTTCATTATGATAAATGTAATAAGATTTTAACTTTAGACCAATGTGATTATATTGAGCAGTTGTTACAAAAATTCAAGATGGTTGACTGTAAACCAGTAGATACACCAATGGAATGTTTTTTTTTTTTTTTTTTTTTTTTTTTGTGAAAGGTGGCAAACGAGCAGACGGCCCACTTGATGGAAGGTGGTTACCGTCGCCCATGGACATCCACAACATCGTTGCGGATGCGTTGCCAACCTTGTTTTTTTTAGGGATAGGGAGAGGTGGGAATAAGGAAATGGTAGGAAAGGGTGGGAATAGGGAAAGGGCAACCGGCTCTCTCACTCATCGGACGAAACGCAGCCAGTAAAGGCTACTTTACGCCGATCTTCTGTGAGAGGGTGGTACTTCCCCGGTCGAGCCAGCCCATGTTCGAGCTGTAGTGACTGACTACAGCTAGGCTCTACCACCTTTAAATGTGGATTAAAATTAACAAAAGATTTAAATTGTGATAAAAGTTTGCCTTATCAGCAACTAATTGGATGTTTAATATATCTTGCCATACTTACCTGACCCGATATAGCTTTTCCTGTTGTGTACTTAAGTCAGTTCAACAATTGTTACAATAAAGAGCACTGGGCTCATGCTAAACGTATACTGAGATACCTAAAGGGAACTAAAGATTATTGTATTAAGTATAATGGCACAGATGACAACAAGGTATTGGCCTATGTGGATGCAGATTGGGGTAGTGATATCACAGATAGGAGATCCTATACAGGCTATTGTTTTACTCTATCTAGTGGTTTGATATCTTGGGGAAGTAAAAAGCAAAAGAATGTAACTTTATCTAGTACCGAAGCAGAGTATGTTGGCATAGGTATCTGAATGTTGTAAGGAGGCAATTTACCTTAGGAATTTGCAAAATGAAATCATAGGTCTAATGCAATGTATTGTAATTTTTAATGATAACCAGAGTGCACACAAGTTGTTATATAATCCTGTATTTCACAATAGAACAAAGCACATAGACATAAGGTTCCACTTCGGTAGAGAATGTATTAAAAATAATATATTTAATAATATAATTAAAATTGAGTATCTTCAGACAGATCTAATGCTAGCTGACATACTCACAAAGTCTTTAAATTCTGTAAAACATTATAAATTTTTAGAACTGTTGGGAGTTCGACAAAAGTAAAAATTGTTATTTCATTTTGATATAGTGGGGGTATTGATTGTATATCAAAATGTGTACCGCAGCGACATCTAGTGTAGTTTATGTTAACTGTATCTATGCAATTGTCTACGAAATAAATACAAGTCAGTCTGTCATTTCCAACGCACTCGGTTGTTTCATTTAAGAGACTCAACAGTGGTTTTGGCGTGGCTTCGTGGACCTGTTAATAGGTGGGCTACATACGTGAGCAACAGAGTGTCACACATACTAACGATAATGGAGTTTGAGCACTGGGGACATGTGTCAACCCATACTATCCCTCCTGACTGTGCCTCTCGAGGGCTGAAGCCAACAGAGTTAAACAGTTATACCCTTTGGTGGAACGGTCCCGATTGGCTGTCAAAGCCAGTCATTCAAAGTTAAAAGCCTGACATATTTGATACTAATGAGGAGGAACGAGTTAAATCTTTTGTTGTTATAGAGAAGCCAAACACTAATTTTGTATGGATGAAGTTTTCAGATTTATCAAAACTATTAAAAGTGATTTCATTATGTCGGAGGTTTCTTAGAACGAGAATGCCATCGAGTGAGAGAAAGCTGTTACCAAAATATGTTACGTCAGATGAAATGACTCAAACCCTACAATTGTGCATAAAACAAGTTCAAGAATGTGAGTTTGCGGAAGAAATAAGCACATTAAAAACTAGAGGTAGCGTTGCGAATCGGAGCGTACTACGCATCCTACCCTTTTTTGGATAAAAATGGGATCTTAAGAGTGGGTGTACGCTTAAGTCAAGCTGATGTGAGCTATGATCAAAAGCATCCTATTATTTTGCTAAGTCTGTTAATAGTTGCTGATGTCTTAGTATGTTAATAGTTGCTGATGCTCATAAAAGGACGCTCCATGGTGGTCCGCAACTTATGATGAGTTTTTTACGGTCTAAATTTTGGATATTGAGAGCACGTGAGATGCTTAAAAAATATTACAGAAGTTGTGTTACTTGCCTCAGACATTCTAAATCAGCAGCGTCACAGTTGATGGGTCAATTACCGGAGGCAAGATTAAAACAGAGTCGAGCTTTTAGAACTTCAGGAGTGGATTACGCAGGTCCTATTAATATCCGGTTTTCTCCTGGGCGAGGAGCGAAATCGTACAAGGGATATATATGCTTGTTTGTATGTATGGTAACACGAGCTGTTCATTTAGAAGCAGTTTCCGATTTAACTGCAAAAGGGTTTATTTCTGCATTTAGAAGGTTTGTTGCATGTAGAGGACATTACCAAGATCTTTTTAGTGATAACGGCACTAACTTTGTTGGTGCAGATGCTATGTTACGTGATATGTTTGACAGTGCTAAATCAACTTTACCTAATGAAATAGCTCAGCTGTTAAGTGTAGAATCAACAACGTTTCATTTTATTCCACCAAGTGCGCCTAACTTTGGAGGACTTTAGGAGGCGGGTGTGCGTTGTGCTAAAGGTCATTTAAAACGAGTCATAGGGGATACTACCTTAACGTACGAAGAGGTTTCAACTTTACTAGCACAAGTTGAGGCGTGTTTGAATTCACGACCTTTGAGCGTTCTTAGCGACAACCCAAACGACCCTCTCCCATTGACACCTGGTCATTTCTTAGTAGGAGAATCATTGTTAAATCTTATTGACAGAGATTATTCGGATCAAAATGTAACGGGATTAGATAGATGGAAAATGATTCAGAAAATGGTTAATGTGTTGTGGAAGCGGTGGTATAAGGAATTTTTAAGTAATTTAAATCAGAGAACCAAATGGTATAAGAAAAATTCAGAAATTGATATAGGAGATGTAGTCGTAATTAAAGATGACAATATACCACCTGCTAAATGGATCTTAGGGAAAGTAATAGAAAAGCACACTGGACCTATAATGTAACACGGGTAGTAACAGTAAAATGTAAAGGAAGGTCACTTAAACGCCCTGTTAATAAGCTATGTGTTTTGGTTAAGTCATAGGTATTTAAACTACGAGTATATTGTCACGGTGGCCGGTTTCTATTCACTGTTTTACTTTTTTGTTTGTTATATTTTATTGTAACTGTTTTACTTTATATAACGTGTACTGTGTAACTAGTTAAGTTTAAGATAAGTTTTATAGAAGTAAGTTTTTGTTTTCTTTAAAGATATTTTGTTACTTTTACTGTTCCTACTTAAGATATAAATTGAATGTTATGTTAAGGACAAGTCCTTGGTGGGCGGAATGATTAAAATGCTTAACCCTACAGTGCATTTTGTGCCATATCTGGTACAGTCACAATAATTAAGTTTACCGTTCATTTAAAGACACCTAGTGTCATATGTCGAATGAAAGAATAATCTTTGAACCCTTAGCAACGGATTAGTAATGGTAAGTGTCATCGGATGGTTTTAGCTATCGATTGTTATTGTAATTCGTACACAATTTGAAAGTTTGAAAAATCTTAAAAAAATATTTAATATTAAGTTTGAAAATACTTAAAAAAATAGTTTTTTGAATATTAGAAAGCAAAAAAAAATACTATTACATTAGAAATAGTGTACATAAAATGAAGGTAAGTATTTTTTTTAAATATTACTATTTTTTGTTTATATATCAACTTATTTAAGTGTTCCAGATATGGAACACTGTGCATTAGTTCACTTCTATTATTTTATTTTGGTTGGATTTTATTACAGATTATGGCAAAGAAGGTATTGTCTGACGAGTTGATTGAGCAGCATTTAGATATTCCGTCAGAAACTGAATACAGTCAAGACCTTTCAAGTGCGCAAAGTGATAATGACCTGGTGAAGATCAGAGAAAACTTGTACCAAATGAATGAAGTTGGTGACTCTGAAAATGAGCCTACTCGGTATGCAGCATTTACTTCTGCTAATTGCAGTTCCTTCCTCAACGAAAATATAAATGAAGAATCGACAAATCCTCAGCCCATCATATCAGGACCAAGTACTTCATCACGCCAAAATAGAAGTTGTTTCACTTTATCAGTTAGAAGAAATAAAATTACGAATAATGTAACTAATAAGAGGAAGAAAATAAATTTAATATGGTAAAAGAAATCTTTTGCAAACTGAACATCCACAATTTTCTGGAAGTACAAATTTAAAGCCACTAATCACAACTTTGGATACTCCATTGCAATATTTTTTATATTTTTTTTTGTGGTAATGTGGTATGATAAAAAGCCTGTAGTTTTATCCTCATCGTTTGTATGACTACAGCCTATTAGCAAGGTTAGACGGTATTGCAAGAAACAGAAAAAGTACATTGAAGTAGATTGTCCTCAAATAGTAAAAGTTTATAATCAACATATGGGAGGAGTTGATTTGATGGCCTCTTTCTTGGAAAGCATAATATAAAATTGCGTACTTAAAAAATGGTATTTACGTTTGTTTTACCATCTCTTAGACATTACCACCATAAATTGCTGGCTACTGCACAAGAAGGTAGGAAAACAGGAGAAAGAGTCCAATCATATTAAATAAAACAATTCTAAACTAGAGCTAGCTAAAAGTCTTTGTATGTGTGGTCCGTCGTTAAAGACGGACCAAAGAAAAAGAGCAAGACCCTCTTCTGCTGTAGATAACATTATCGAGAAGAAGAAAACAAATAATGAAGCTATCCTTCCATCTCGATATGTAAGACATGATAAATTTGATCATCTTCCCATATGTAACCAGAATCGACAACGCTGTAAGTATCCTCAGTGTAAAGGAAAAACATGTTGTGTTTGAACAAAGATAATAATTGTTTTAATAAATTTCATTCATAAACGTAATATATTTGAAACTATTTGATTATGTTAATTGTTCCTAATTAAGAGCCAAATATTACTATAAATGCATATTGTACCACATATGGAACAAAATTAAATAAATGAATATATATAAAAGCAATGGACTTTGATTATTGTTTTCGTACTTTATTATGTCTGAACACCATATAGAATCACATATATTTTTTTGAGATGATTTAAAAAAATCATGCATTGTAGGGTTAAGTGATTACATATGTGTAGTAACAAAGTTTGTCAATAGATGGCGTTAGCCGTCCTTGAGATCACGCTATCGAAATGTCGTTTTATGTTCCTTAAGTAAGCGTGGTTTTTTTTGTATTGATTGAGTTCCAGTTTAATACGAGTTTAATAAACGAGTGATTAATACGGGTGAAGTCAACGAGTGTTTCATTTCAGACAAAGCGAGCGTGGCAAGTGTTCTCTCCAGTTTTTGGAGCTCTGTTGAGAGAATGAGGACGAAGTTATGGACTGTCTTTTTAGATACGAAGGTATTTTCCTGATCGATTATAAAGATCGTGATGTGACTATAATGGGACAGTACTAGCTTTTTTATAAGATAGATTGAAAGAAGCTTTCAAGGAGAAAAGAAGAGGAAAGTTGTCAAAAGGTATGCTCCTTTTGCAAGACAACGCACCCGTCCACACGTTCTATGTTGCGGCGGCTGAAATTCACCGATGAGGATTCAAAAAATTAAACCACCCACCTTACAGTCCAGACTTAGCCCCCAGCGACTATTATTTGTTTCTAAAAATGAAAAAGGAGCTGCTTGGAAAAAAAAATTGGCGACGATGAAGAAGTCAAGTCCGCAATTTCGGCCTATTTTGATAGTCAAGATAAATCATCTTTTTTCGATGGTATTAATAAATTATTATTTGAGAGATCCGAAAAATGTATTAAAGTTAAAGGAGAATATATTGACAAGGTAAAATAGATTTAAGGGTAAAATTTTTAATTTCAACCACCTTCCGCGAATTTATTGACCTCCCCTCGTAGATTCATCACTTCACTCTGGAATCAAAACGATTGGCATCTGATTGAATAGAACTGGTGAACCTCGTCCAAAGCGCTCGAAAGCACAACAATTGCCTGGAAAGGTTATGGCCTCAGTATTGTAGCGTGTGCATGGTGTAATATTCATCGACTACCTTGAGAAAGGAAATACCATTGACATTAGATATTATATAACGTTCCTTAACTCAAAAATCCAAAGTTTTCGCCAGATGAGACTACCAGATACTACTGGCTGTTCGCAGACATGAAAAAAAAAAAAACGCTCGCCGGTAAGAAATATCGCACGAATGAAGAGGTTATTGCTGAAACTGGGGCCCATTTTTAGGCAAAAGATAACTAGCTCAACAAATGTGGTATTGAAATGTTACAGTGGCGCTGGAATGGTTGTGATGCTCTTGATGGAGATAATGATTAAATCTAAATTTGAACCAAAAAAAAAAATATTATCTTTGTTAGGCCGGGACTTTTCAGACCATGTGATATATTCATCGAGGAACACATTGAACTTATTTAACACATTGAACTTTGGTAGTGTTTTAGTATGTAACAATAATGTCTGCTCAGTAAATGATTCCTTTTGAGACAGTGGAGTTATTAAAATTAATCCCTGATTTAGTTCGTCAAGGCTAAGAGACTCCGATTCAAACTTTTGTTTTTTATATAATTTAATAAATAGAATGAAAGTTTCTGCATAACTCTTTTACGGAACGTGCAGCAAACCTCTAGAACAATCTCCCTAAATCCATCCAAAAGAGTCCCAACATTAATCTCTTTAAAAAAAGAGTAAAAGAGCACTTTCCATCACAATTATTATCATAAATCTGTCAAATTAACTAACATTTTTTTTTGCTGTTGTATATTTATAATATTTATGTATTTAGAAGTAGTGTAAGTAAACTACTCAAAACAAAATAGGGCCCACCAGTACTTATTCACAAAAAGTGTTGGTATCTTACTTCAAACTTATTTATGGGCAAGTTCAAGTGGTTTACCGTTAATCTGAGATGTTTATGAGTTCTTATCATTCTTTTGAACAACATTTTTTATATTTTTACTCTCAAGTGGCCAGCCAGAAACAAATTAAGTCAAAATCATCAATGCATAATTTGTTATTCAGTTGCATTGTGACTATCGTTCCAAACGCTTCTTGTTTTGTTTAACTGTTTTATTAATTGAATCATTAGAGCAAATTGTAATGCCACGTATTCGGAACCATATGAACATGGAAACTGCCTTAAAAGCATTGGTATTGCTGGAAGAGGGAAAGTCTCAGCGAGCAGTAGCATTACGACTGGGAGTATTACGGCGAGCTATCAAAAATGTGTGAGAACGCTATCAGGAGATTGGTAGTGTAGCTAGAAGACCTGGGTCAGGAAGAACACGATCCACAACTGATCAAGAGGATCTTTATCTTCGTTTATCCGCCCGTCGAGAGCGCACCGTTACTGCCCGTGCCTTACAAAACCGACTCCAGCAAGCCACTGGTACGCGGGTAAGCGATCAAACGATCCACAACAGACTCCATGAAGATGGACTACGATCCAGAATGCGTGTTGTTCGCATTAAACTTACGAGGGCTCATCGTGCAGCTCGTCTTAGGTTCGCACATGAGCATTTGGACTAGACTATGGACAATTGGTGGACTGTACTCTTCACAGATGAGAGTAAAGTTAAGTTTTATAGTGATGACAGACGCGTACGAGTGTGGAAAAGAGAAGGCGAACGTTTTACAAACCCTTGTATCCACGAGACTGATCAGTTTGGGGGGCCCAGTGTTATGGTGTGGGGTGGAGTAAGCTCAACGAGTAAAACAGAGTTGGAAATCTTAAACGAGGGTACCGTAACTGCTGCCAAATACGTCGAGCGTGTGGTCCGACCTCATATCATTCCCTATGCACAACGAGTGGGCAACAAATTTTAGCAACATTTTTTAGTGAAGCCAATATCTCTATTTACCATGGCCAGCAATGAGCCCCGATCTCAAACCAATCGAACATTTATGGGACCAGTTCAAAAGAAGCCTAAAAGAAAATTATAGTGAAGTGCACAGTCAACAGGAGCTCATAAACGCTTTAAAAGTGTGCTGGGAGCCGATACCACAGGAAAACATAAACCATTTAATTGAAAGTGTCCCAAACAGGCTCAGAGAGTGCGTTCGTAACAGAGGAGGACCTACACAATACTAAAAGTACCCCTGTGAAACCTACCGTATTCGTTTAAGTAATGAAAATCAAAATTGTCAAGATCACTTTTTTAACAGTAAAGTATAATTTTCAATGTTTATGTTTATTTTTAAGGAAATTGAAGTTTTTTTCATAATTTGATTGGTTTAGACAATTAATAACACTTTACCCTTAACACATCTATCCAAAAAAAATAATTTTTTTCGTCAGTTTTCATTTTCGATAATAAAAACCAAGTGGGCCTTATTTTGTTTTGACTAGTTTATATATGTATTTATTATTATAGTGTTTATTTATGTTTTTATTTAGGTTTTTATGTAAGTGTTTTATTATCTATACTAATATTATAAAGCTGAAGAGTTTGTTTGTTTGTTTGTTTGAAAGCGCTAATCTCCGAAACTACTGGTTCGAATTGAATAATTCTTTTTCTGTTGGATAGTCCAGTTATCGAGGAAGGCTTTGGGCTATATAACATCACGCTACGACTAATAGAAGCAAAGATATAGTGGTAAATGTGTAAAAAACGGGAGAAATTATTTCATCTTTGAAGCCTTCCGTTGCGTGCGCCGTGAAAACGGTTCAAGATACACAAAAAATGTGTTAAAGAATAATAGCTCTTTTAATGATCTAAAAAACAGTCCGTGACAGTATATGTCTATCTTTTAATATTAACTCACAAAAACCGTTTTTATGGTACCTAATTTGGTCGAAATAATATGTTTAAGTTGTATCAACATAATAATATTAATCTTTATTTAAATAAACAAATACATATGTTGTTGGTTAAGAGAACTTCATTGTGAATTAAAAAAAACATAGGTTTTATCCTGGAAACTCTACGGGAACTCGACCATTCCGAAAACCCCGCAAGAACGGGAACTATGTGGGAAGAACCAAAAATCTGCCGGAAGTCACTATTCCACGCGCACGGAGTCGCGGCAAAAGCTAGTGTATTATATTTAAATTGTTTTTTTTTTTCATTTTATTATTAATAGCATCTAATATTGCACTATTTATACCTGCTGTATAACACTATCTCTTACAGCTGTGGGTTGGCTGGAAGAAATTTCTTTTAGAAATAAGCCCGCCATTGTGAACAATTATTTTATATGTAAAATAACCCTGTAAATTTACAGTGCAATAAAGAGTAGTGGCGGCTGTACCTTAAGTGCACTCGTGCGCTGAACCACCAATTCAAAATATTTAAAAATTACAAAATATTACTTTTTAATATTGATATAATATAATTATCATTTTAATATTGATTTTTTAACAGACAAAAACGTATAAAAAATTAAATTTCCAATTATGGTCAAAAAGTTTGAGCGCTTTACTAAACTCATATCGTGCGCTTCGGCGAGTGCACGAGGACTGCTAATACATCTTGTATGGAATAGGAGTTAATACGCCTGACGCGTGAAACAAAAGATAATTCATAGAAATGTACCGAGTAATGAGTCGGTTCTCGAGCGTCACACGAGCGGCCGAAGATTACCGAGAGCACCCGATATATTAGGCCTCGGCCTCGAATTTTGCGGGCAGCGGAGCGGCAAGATCATACGCGTATAATCAAATGGACCGACCCTCGAATACAGCGGTGCAGGAGCAGGGCGGGGGCGGGCAACGAGCGGTGCACGGGTGCACTCCA